AAATAGGAGACTGGGGGGCACTGGATGAAAGCCTTCCCTCGATTTACGGCCACTATTGAGCCCAGGATTATGGTCTTAAGCTATTGCTGCCGTTAAGTGAGATGCCCACGTGATCCTGGCTCTCCCCGTTGCAGTTGTTATGCAGCGGGTTGCGCAACAAATGGCCGTAAGCCGAGGACCGGCTGCATTTCTTCGAGATACCTATCGGGTGAATTAAAAAGGGCTGACTTGGATTGACCGAGAAGCTGTGCAGAGGTAGCCAGGATATCAGCTCGGAGACCAGGGCTGCTCTCCCCCGGGGGAAATGCTCGAGAGCTGGCCGAGAGCTTACAGAGAGGTTGTTCTCCTTGGAGAAATATTTTACTACCTGAGTAATTATCCAAGCGGGAGGAAAAAAGGAAGAGATACCCAAAGAAGAGGCCTCGATAAATTGTGTGTGTTTTTTTAAAAGCCCAACTTTGAGGAGCTTCCTCTTCTAACGTTGTGCTCTAATCCCCAGAGAGATTCCTTGCACCAGCTAAAAAAATAAAAATCCTATTATTTCAATGTTGGGGTGTCCAGAGTCACGAAGGAACGTTTGAATCTCTTTTAGGGGACATTTCACCCGGAGCGGCAACGGAGAACTCTGAAGCAGCAACCCTTTTGTTTTGATTTTTTTAAAAAAAGAAAGAGAAAGGCTGGTCTTTATTCCAAGCCCTTGGGAGAAAAACCTGGAAAATCCTGCAGTTGCTCAAACCTCGAGAAATATGCATTTAAAAAAAAAAACCTGGATGGTACCCAAAAGGAAGACGGCCAAACCATCTTCACCTCCTAACAAACCAGCTGGTTTCTTTTTTCTTTCCCCCTCCCCTTCCCCGACTGCTAAATTTCCCTTATTGTCTCTACCCTGTGCTTCACAACCCGAAACTTCCTATTTTACAAAAATATCTAGTCGTGTAGTTAAAATAAATCCATGCATTCCCGTTTTCTCTTTTCTTTCCTGCGACTTCCAGAAAGCATTCCACGTGTGACACAGCAAGACTTTCTTTAAAAAAAAAAAAATACTATGCAAAGGTTTAAGACCAGGGGGTCGGCAACCGGTGGTCTGCAGGCCCAAATCCAGCCCGCAGGCTAACTATGGGGTGGCTGGAAACCGATGGTCAGCCCTGAGACTCAGAGCCAGGCTCCTGGAGGGGCAGGAGAAGAGGACGGGGCCCATCCCCGCGGATGTCACCTCCCTCGGTTTGCAGGACCTGCCAGCCACCCCTGCGAGAGGCAGAGAAGGGGCAGGATCTGGGCCCTTTGGGATCTTAAACGGTTGCCGACCCCTTGCTTCGGAGATGTAACTCTCAGCCTGCTGGCCCAGAGCAGTTTCACGGGTGGATTTGAACCCGTGCCGTCTCCCGCAAACCGCAAAGCGTGTGCCACCCAGTTGGGAGGAGCCGGCGTAGAGGACCGGCAAGGTTGTGCGTGATTTCGCTTCGTTTTGTGTTTCGTGTTTTGTGTTTTTTGTTTCTCTCAGAGGAAAAAGACCCAGCGGTAGAACACACAGACCAGGAGCATCAAGGTACAGTAAAAGGCCGCGAAAGCACAGAGCTGAGTAGAAAGTAGCACCAGATTAGTCTCTTCGGAGTCTGTGCCCAGAGAAAGGAGGGATTCAACAGTCCTCTGAATGCTGAGGTTTAGCTGGAGAATGTCAGAAGGGGAACACAGGCTGTCCTGTCCGGAAGTGGGCAGCAGGAAAGGGAAAACAGACAGAAAAAAAATTAGTAGAAGCTCGCTCGGTAGGCAGGCCGGAGTCTGCGAAGCTGCCCAACGTAAGATCCTCGCCAGGTTGCAACGCTCCCGTTTCTAAAACCATTGTTATGCCCAGACATACCACTTAGGACCATAGCTAAGAGTGAAGGTTCCCCTCGCACGTATGTGCTCGTCATTTCTAAGGGGCAGTGCTCCTCTCCGTCATAAAGCCGAAGAGCCAGCGCTGTCCGAAGACGTCTCCGTGGTCCTGTGGCCGGCAGGACTAAACGCCTTCGAAGGCGCATGGAAGGCTGTTCCTTTCCCACCAAAGATGGTTCCTATTTTCCTACTTGCATTTTTTAACGTGTTTTTGAACTGCTAGGTTGGCAGAAGTTGCTGGGACAAGGAATGGGAGCTCACTCCATTACGCGACGCTGGGGGTTCGAACCGCCGACCTTTCCAATCGACAAGCTCAACGTCTCAGCCACTGAGCCATCGCATCCTTCTTAGGACCGTAGCTGAGTCGACATTTCCACCCCTAAGCAAGACAGCTGTGAAGTGAGTCCTGCCCCATTTTGACATTTGCCTTCCCACCGTTGTTAAGTGAATCGCTGCGGTGGGGAAAGCGAGTGACATGGTTTGCCCCACTGTTCCGAAGAAGCATCTTGGAGGAGAAGCGGAACGTCTTGGGAGGAAAATCAAAGGAAGACCAGCTGCTTTTTGGAAAAAAAAAACAGCAACTTTGGGACAACCACGACCTGAATGACGGAGAATCTCCAAAGACATTTTAATAAGACGGTTGTTAAGTGAATCTGGCTTCCCCCTTTGACTCTGCATGGCAGAAGGTGGCAAAAAAGACGATCAAGTGAACCCCAAAACCCCATCTGTCGATTGCTTCGAAAGTCAGCTTTACACCAACTTTTGAAACGGCCCATCTCTGTCCCAGAACTCTGGACTACGTACAAATAAGCGTCTCAAAGCACTTTGTACTGTGCAGGTAGCCCTCAACTTACAACCATTCGTTTAGTGACCGTTCCGGGGTTGTAAATGTGTTTTTCACATTTACAACCATTATAAACCCTCCTGTGGTCACCTGATCAAAATTCAGACGCTTGATATTTACGACGGTTGCCGTGTCCTGGAATCACAGAATCCCCCTTTTGTGACTTTGGGGGGAGCCAGATTCATTTAACAACGTGCCACTAAGTTAACAATTGCGATTCACTTAGCAACTGAGGCAAGAGAGGTCTGAAATTGTAGGCAAGGACGAGGCTGAGACCAAGGGAAGGGAGGGTCAAATCTGTCACATCCAGGGATGGGATTCAAATTTCTTAAGAATCAGTTGTGTGGGCGTGGCCTAATTTATGGGTGTGGTTCGGTGCGCATATGACTGGGTGGGCATGGCTTGTATGCAAATATTATAAATATTGATGTAAATATTGATTTTTTTCATTATAAAAAGGAACTTTTACCCCAAATCAGGCAAAGCAGGCGGGCAGATTGAGTTGCTCACAAAATCACAGATTCACTCAGAGATCTATCTTTCTGCAATCTGCTACCTGAGTCTGCACTGAAAAATAGAAGCTTCCGTCCTAAGGAAGGTTGAGTTTTGTTTTTACATTAGCTAGAAAGCAAGAAATCCAACGATTTACTGCTTTCTAGCTAATCTAAATCTCCCAGCACAGCAGAACAGCTGATGGCTGTGGGGGCGGAATAGCAACTTACCAAACGCAGGCAAGTTGGATGGCACACATGCCAGGTAAGGAATGCGTGGGCGGGGAGGGGGGGGCAGCCAGTGGCACGATTTGCCAGTTCTCTGAACTGTGCAGAATTGTAGCAACTGGTTCTATAGAACTGGTCTGACCCGGTAGAATCCCAACCCTGGCTGCATCGCACGCCAACAAGAGATCTCAGTCCAGTCCTCCTTGAATTCCTTTCATTCTTATTTTCCACTACTTAACAACTGCCCTGCTTAGCACTGGAAATTGTAGTCGCAACTCAAGGGCTACCTGTATCTTGCTCAAAGCAATTAGAAGCAAGATTTCTACTCCAAAACCTTTAGGATTTGATCTCAGGTCCTTCCAGACTTGTGGTGATGCCTCGAGGGACAAGCCAATTGTAACCGATTTGTGCACGTGAAGTTCACGGCACCCCAACCCGATTGCAATGGGGAGAAATCCTACTTGGGCAGCTTCAGGCAGGGTCTTCTAAATTGCTCCCAGGGGTTGTTTCCCCTCCCCGTTTTGTCCAACCACTGGGAGGAATTCAAAAGACCACAAATCAGAAGAGGTTAGTTTTCCATGCGCTGGAAATTTTGTCGTGGGTACAACCAAGGTGAAACGAAGACATTAACCAGATTAAAACCAGGATTATCAGGCTGGTGAGGTGCAACCGTATCTAATTTTACTCGGTATTTTTCCACCCATTCAGAAGACGGTAGAGACCTTAGATCTGAAACATAGTCTGCCCTTCCTTCCTTTGTCGCTCGTCAGGTGTATTGGATTACAACTCCCATCACCTTTCACCAGCATGGCCAGATGCTCTCGTGGCTGAGGACAATGGGAACAGTAGTCCAAGATATCCTCCCAAGTTATTTATCTGTAGCTGAAGAGGCCAGGTGTTTCTTCTTGTACCTATCTTTTGATGCATGGGTGTGACGTTTTGGGGTGTACTCCACTCTGATGAACTATGGGTTCCTGGGAGGTGAGATTAAATACCCCAAAGAGGTTTTAAAACAGCAAAAAAAAAAAAACCCTTCTAGCACTGATGAGCTTACCTAGTTGGGTCATGAAATGTCTGCAAGGAAACGACCAAGGACCCAACAATCCTCCTCCTCCTCCCTGCAAATCTCACTTCCTTCTAGTACTGATGATGTTACGCAGTTGGGCCATGAAATGTCTTTGTGAAAAGAACGAGCACCAAAGACCCCACAATCTTCCTCCTGCTCTGATCCTCCCCCCTCCCCACTTCCTTCTAGCACTGATGATGTTGCCTAGTTGGGTCACATAACGCCTGTAAGAAAATAACCCAGTTCAGATAACATCAAGGACCTCGCAATCCTCATCCTCCCTCTCCTCAAACCCCGTCTTCTCCTCTTCCTCCTCCACTCTGCAACCCTCCCTTCCTTTTAGCCCTGATGGTGTTACCTAGTTGGATAATGTAATGTCCGCAAGAAAGCAACCCAGCTCAAAGGGCACCAGTGACCCCCGCGGTTATCTAAACAATGTTTAGATAAAATAATCCCACACAGTGTGAAGATAAAATGGGAAGGCTTCCTCTCATACCTGTGGCACCCCTATTTTTCGACAGGCTTCCAGGAAATTTTCCACATTCCGTCGACACTTGGCTATGGTTAATTTAGGCTGCAGAAGGAAGAAAGAAGAAGATGGCATTCACCAGGAGCAGCGTTGTTAAGTCTCCGGCAGCAGTGGCGGACCTACGACCCGTGTGCCAAAGATGACAAGCCATACGTGTGTGTGTGTGGAGAGGGTGTGTGTGTGTGACACCAGCATTCACCACATTTAGGGCAAGAATGGGACAGGCTGTTTTGCAACCTCCAAAAATGAATTCCCTTTACTTGCATTTCATAACGTTTTTGACGTTGCTTTATACGTACTCATTTATTGCAAAAATACAGCCCAGTCATGAGTATAATATAACCCTAACCCTAACTCTGCTAAACAGATAATTCCCTCAACACTGTCCAACTATTTACAAAGTTTGCACTACTATTGCTATTAATCTTCTCATCACTCCTTATCGCCCATCCCCTCCCACTTGTGACTGTGTGACTGTAACTTTGTCGCTTGCATCCTTACGATTTATTTTGACTTTCCTAGTATGATTTGATTGCTTATTGTACCCTCTGACTATCATTAAGTGTTGCACCTGATGATTCTTGACTCTGGACATATGTATCTTTTATGTACACTGAGAGCATTTGCACCAAGACAAATTCCTTGTGTGCCCAATCACACTTGGCCAATAAAGAATTCTATTCTATTCTATTCTATTCTATTCTATTCTATTCTATTCTATTCTATTCTATTCTATTCTATTC